ACACAATTCCCTCCGAATAGGTCGATCCCTTACTCCGATCAACGATCCAAAACCTATTTCTCCCAGCACATTCAACTGACCCTTCTCCTTAAGGTGTTTAATTAATAAATTCACCCTTTTAATGCTGCATCTTGTCGACACTTCCTACATTTTTTAACAATATACAATGTTATAGTTCTTATATATTTTGTATCAACGTATTTACAAGTTTAATGAATACCTTATTTTCATGTGCTTTCCTCCGTTCTTTGTATTCTTTACTATCATTCCTTGACTGTGTGATGTAAGGTTCCTTTTCAGCATCACTCATTGAATTCCATTTGGACCTCACATCTTTTTTCACCTAATATTAAACATAAACGTTTCTTAATCAATACATTAACACTAAATACTAATACTACTCAATGTCAATTTCATTTTACATACCGAACCGCTCTGTGTGCCATCTCCCTTCATCCTTTTGCATTCGGCCATACTGTTAACATTTAAATTTTGTAATCAATTTAAAGTTTATCGATACTTTAATCCAATTACCATTTCAACAATAATAACAAAAAGACATTGATACTTACTAGAAGTACATATATCCACCCTTTGGTTGCTTTCGAGTCTCGACCTCAATTTCAAAGTCATCTGCTCCACCAACAATTTTCCAACCCATTGACTCCATTTTTCCTTCATATATCAGTTTACGCAAATCAAATTATTTTGTTACATACACTTTATTCAATATACAAATATAGATAACTACTCTTGTGGTAAAACGGTTTTCTTCAAAAGAATTTGAATGGCCCCACCAAAATGTGTCGGCACATTTATACAATCTATAATATCATTTTCTACCTATAATATTTAATAAAAGTATCGACATTTATATTTTTCCTTGAATATCTATTTCTACCTGCAATCGGTCCCAAATGCTTCCTTACTCCAAAACCCCAAACAACACATAAAAAACCCTATCGCGATTACTGTAATAATAAAAAATTAGGGTTTCGACAACATACTTTCGATTCGACTGCATCAACAAACAAACAAACTTCGCTTTAGAAACGCCTTCTGAAATGCAGCAACAATTACGCTTCGATTTCAAAAACTCGTCCGTTCTATCTTTTTTCAGAGGATATTTAGCTATGACCTTTATATTTTCATCGGATATGTTATTTATATTTAATCGATACAAATACAAAAGTGTCGATACTTTTATGTCAGGTGTTGATACTTTCGAAAGGATAATTACCTATTTCTTTGAAAGTGTCGATAATTTATTACACATACTTACGAAAGTATCGACACTTTCAATATATCCGGTATCATTTTACCGGTTTTATCATTTTGATACCGGTTTTATCATATTTTTACCTGTTATATCGTTGTAGATCGATATATTTTTTTAAAGTATCGACACATTATAGGCGCTATAACTGCTTCTCTTTTAAATTCACAAAGTGTCGATCCTTATATAAAGTATCGACACTTTTAATATATCCGGTAACGTTTTACCGGTTTTATCATTTTGTTACCGGTTTTATCATATTTTTACCTGGTATATAATTTTGGATCGATACATTTTTTAAAAGTATCGACACTTTATAGGATTTAAAACTGCTTCTCTTTTAAATTCACGAAGTGTCGATCCTTATATTAAAGTACCGACACTTTAAATGTATCCGGTAGCGCTTGACCGGTTTTATCATTTCTATACCGGTTTTGTTATAGTTTTACCTGTTATATCGTTTTGGATCGACACATTTTTAATTTGGATCGACACGAACCGGTAGCACAATTTTTTAATATTTCTTCATGACTTAGACCTACTTTTATAAGTATGGACACTTTTATAAAAATGATATATACTTTTTTTTAAGTTATGTAATTTATGTTTCAATTTTTGTAATAGTGTTTCATGTTTTCCACCTACAATATTAATTTAATAATTTCATTTACACAAAAAATTATTTGATTGTTTTGATATTTTATAAAATATTATTTAGATTTTAAATTTAACAATATTAACTAAAGATAATAATAAATATATTTTCACTGTGAAATAAGTATGAACACTTTTATAAAAATGATAGATAATTTACAATATAACAGGTAAAAATATGACAAAACCAGATTCATTATGACAAAACCGGTAAAATTTACTTGATATGTTAAAAGTATGGACACTTTTATAAAAAGCATAGATACTTACCGATAACCAAAGTTTACCGGCTACCAAATTTTTTAATAGTTTTTCATATTTTCTACCTAAAACATTATTAGTTGTCAACATAATAGGTACCGCTAAACCGAATTTATTAAATACATTTTAATGTATCCGGTAATGCTGTATATTAGCCGTATATTAACCCGCTGAGACATTCCCGTGAAGCGTCGCAGCAGCCTTGGTGGCTTGGCTTGGCCGTAATTAAAGGAAATTACAAGCGTATCCCTCTTATATAAGTTTATGTCCTTTTCCGTCCCCACATTTTCAGCCCGTAATCGCAATGGGAATTTAAGGCAGCCGTTTGGGCCTTCGTGAGACACCATCTTCGTTTACTCAATTTAAAAGGTTTAATTTGCTCGCAGTCCCTATATATTTTTTTATTAATCTAAATAAATACAAGATAATATATGTTTAAACACAACTCTAAATCATTTGACGTTGAAGGCTCACACCCTTAGTATTTCTGGTGCTCGTACCCAGGACCTCAAAGAATAACAATAATTCTTTTACTACCGAGGTCGTTTATTTCTTTGATCCCTATATCTTTTAATAGTTATCATGTCAAAATTAACTCTTAATGTTTATCAAAATGATTATTTCAATCTTTATTCTATTTTGGGGAGTACTTTGGCCTCAATGTTTTATTTTAAAATAAAAATGTCCCTGATGTTTAATTGAATAATCACTTTGATCTTTTTTCTAGAGCATCTTAGCCCTCAACGTTTCATTTTATGCTAAAAATACACATATTTTAAAACATTAAATGTTTGTTAACCAACGGTTGTCACTCATAAAGAGATCATTTTATCCTAAAATGAAACATTAGGGATCAAAATGATTATTCGATAAGTACCGGGGTTAATTTTAACTTTATATCTTTCAAACATTTGAAATTTCATTGTTCAGGAATTTGATCCATCTACTCTTTCGTTTTAATAACCGAAATATAATTGATAAAAATATTTTTTTTAATAATCTATAATAAAATAATGAATTTTTATACTTGTGGATATAAGTTATCCTTTGATTACGATTTAAGCGATTGGGATTAATGCTTGAAATTGATTTAATTTTGAAATAATCTGTTACGTATTAAATTCTCAACCTACCTGTAACCCCTCAATAACGAAAAACACGTAATCGACTATTAATTCTAAAATCGTTTTGCATTAGATTATTGATTCGATTCGATTTGATTTTAAATAATATTAAATATAAAATATCGAAATGTCTCGAATCAAATCACGTCATTTTAAATTTAATCCACGTATCATATCTAATAGATGAACAATCTAATCCTCAGACATGTTACAATCTTAAACGATAAGATTTATGAAATAAGATAAATCAACATAAGGAAAAAAATGTAATTTTTATATAAAAAATAATTAATAATCGATGCTCAAAAGGGAGACAACTTCAGCAAAATCTAGGGAAATTAAAATTGATTTATATTACAGATTAATCTTGCGATGGTCATAAACTAAAGATATATATATATATATCCATCCTTGTGTAACTTTTTAATATTTCATTTTTCCTTTGTTAAACATAAGGATGGACCGGGAGGGTGAGTGAAGCATTCGTTTTCTTAAATTTTAAAATTATAATATATTTTATATTTTTTATATTAAGAATATATTTTTATTTCTAAAATTTGAAAAATTCAAATTCACTCCTCGTAACATAAAATTTTGTGCACGTTCGTCCTTGAAAAATAAATATGTTGCGGTCAACCTTGAAACTAAATAGCCACTTTTTTTTTTGGAAAGTTCTACAGTGCGACACCCTTAATATACAATTAAAAAAAGGCGTTGCCGGTTTTGTTATTATTTAAATAACAAAACCGGTAAAAAATTACCTAAAACATTTTTTTGGTACACAAAAGTTTAGGTCATGGGTGGCTCCCCCAATCCAGGACCAGGGCATATCTAAGACTCAATTGAGATTTACATAGGACTTTACAGGTTGCCCACCAAGAGTGACGGTGGTAGGATTCGAACTTGGCCTTACAAGCTCAAATTTATGAATCCCAACCACTTGTGCCAACACTCATTGGCACCTAAAACATTGTTATTTCTACCTAAAACATCAATATTTTTAACATTTCTGGTAAAGTTCCCAACAATAACAAAATCGATAGCGCTTTACCGGTTTTGTTAACAAAACATGTAAAACTCCTAATAATAACAAACACATGTAGAAATAATAATGTTTTTTTCTCTCTGTACTTTTGAAAAAAATCAATGTAACACTCGTATTATTTCTCTCTCAATGTGACCCTCCACCTAAAAAAAATCCAATTCGATCATTTGACTAACGTTCTTTCATCGTTGATCATTACGATACTGATGTGTCAGTTCACAGTTCTAACTTGACAATCCAGGGTGGCAGATTAATATGACGGATGACATAGTTGATTGGCTAGATTGATAACTCAAACATGATAGATGGACTATCATGTCAACACCATAGACTGTCACATTAATACCGTGAACCGACAAGCCACTATTGTAATGGTCAACAACCTAAAATATTAGTCAAAAGACCACATTAAATTTATTTTCTAAGTTAAAAAGTCCCAAGAAAAAATGATACAAAGGTATTATTATTATTTTCAAAAGTACAGGGACCTTAGGTACATTTTGACTTTATTAAATGTATTAACATATAAGTAATTTTAAATAAAAGTGGCGGTGGGTCCATTTTATGACGTGGCAAACACCCGGCTAATCCGGATTAAGTATGAACCCATCTCTGTTTTATTTAAAGCTTTCGAAACAACAAGAAAAAGCGAATAACATACCAATACTCTCTCTCATTTATTCTCCAACTCTCTAAATTCTTTCTTAATTATTCAAAAAAAAAGATTATTGTTATTTGATTCTTGTTTTCCGATCAGTTCGGACTTTTTCCGATCGTCGTGATTGTGGAATTGTACCGGTACGTCATCTCTTTGTTGTTCGTTTATTGTGAAAATTTGGTGTAACTGATGATGATGGAGACGTCGGAGTGTGGGAGAGCGGTGGCGATGGAATTTCCGGAGAGTGATACGCCTTCGATTTCGCGTGTGCCGAGGAGGATTCGGAAGAGGCTTCTTCTTTCGGAGTGCAAGACTCCTACCGTGGAAGAGATCGAAGCGAAGCTTCGACTCGCCGATCTCCGCAGACAGGTAAAACTCGAGAGTTTCAGTTTGTTCCCCCCTCCCCTTTTAAAATGAAGTTACGTTTCTAATTCATTTCTTAAAGGGAGAGTTTCTTAAAACAAAATTTACGGAAAGAAAAAATTGAAGCTTTTTTTTTAATTCTAAAGAATTATCTTACAATTTAAGATACTGTTATAACAGTTTATGAAGGGCCGATAAATTTTCTTGTCTCGGATTTTAATTTTGAATTCCAAAACTTAATTACTCTTGGAGAAGAAAAATAAGTCCACAGCTCCACCTAACTAAAAGTGGTTTAGGTTAAGTATTTCTTTATTTTAAATAAAGAGAGCAAATTAACTGAAATATATTTTTGCTGCATTTTGTTCACCATTAATTTTACTTATTGTTTGTTCTAGTATCTGGAAAATAAATAGTCTAATGATTCTATTTATTATGTCATGCCATGGATCGTATTTAAATGAAATCAAAATTAAAAGATTTTGAAGTTTCTTCTCCCTACAGTAAAATCTTTGTTTTGAAGCTTCTTCTCTGCGTTAGGTAAAAGGGTGGTGGTGGGTGTTGCTGCCTAAATTAATTTTGCAATTTTTGGTACTTTGTTTCACGTGCAAGCCCTTCTTGGGAAGTTTAATTTACCGTGATCGTTTTTGAATCATTTGTTTCATCAATCCCCCCTTTAGGTGCATGCCAAACTCAGTTGAGCTTATTTAATTCCACGTTACTTTTATCTGCCCAATTTACAGCAATTCTATCAAATATCTGGCAAATAAACTAGTGCTTGAACTTTTTATTTTGGCACGGACTATACTTCACTTTTTTTGTGGTGGTTGTTTGATTGTAGCAATTCATTGAAAGGGTGTCAAGCAAGGCGAGAACAAAGCCAAGAAGCCCTTCTAGATCCTCATCAAACGAGGAAGACCTTGGTCAGCGCCTTGAAGCGAGGCTTCAAGCTGCTGAGCAGAAAAGGTGAATTCAAAGTCTAGTGTCGTGCTACCTCTGATGATAATTAGTTGTTGCATTCTCACAAACGTCTTTCTACTATTGTTTGAGTCCAGCTGTGTCCATTTTTTTTTTGTTGTTTCCTACAGTTCTCCGTTTGATTTCTTTGTGCTGCTGTTATGTTCTTTTAAATGGAACTCATAGTGTGATCTTTTTAAGTGAAAACAAGTTCTAATTCTGCTTTTTGTAATTTGAATGTTCACGGCTGGTCGATCAACAGGTTGGACATGCTGGCAAAGGCTCAGATGCGCCTAGCCAAGTTGGATGAGTTGCGGCAAGCAGCAAAAACTGGTGTAGAAAAGCGTGTTGAGAAGGAACGTGAGAAGCTTGGCACAAAGGTTGAATCACGGTTTCAGCAGGCAGAGGCAAATAGAATGCTTATTCTGAAGGCTTGCAGTCAGCGAAGGGAAACTCTAAATGAGAGATCATCACAATCATTGTCACGGAGGATGGTTAGAGAAAGTAAATATAAGGAGCGTGTGCGTGCTGCTATTCATCAAAAGCGTGCAGCTGCTGAGAAAAAGAGAATGTCCCTGCTGGAAGCAGAGAAGAAGAAAGCCCGTGCTAGGTTTCTGCAAGCTCGACGAGTGGCTAAGTCCATCTCACATCAACGCGAGGTTGAGAGGAGGAGAATGAGAGATCAGTTGGAAGACAGACTGCAAAGGGTATGCATATTTTATAAATTTCTTTACTATGATCCTCCATCTTCTAATGCAAATGCGCTTTTCTTTCTTTATATATTTTTTTGCTTGTATTTATGTTTTTCTTATTAATTTATTGACAAAAAGGCAAGGAGACAAAGGGCAGAGTACTTGAGGCAGAAAGGAAGGACACAAAAATCTATTCAAGTGAATTGTACCAGGATGCAAGCTGATTTGCTTTCTAGAAAACTAGCAAGGTATAAGACAACTGATAGTATTGTTTATTATCTACTGTTGTAATCTTCAAAGGGTCTTTAAAAGATATAGAACATTATTATAGGAAATTATAAGAAATCATTTTTTGCAACACATTCCGGTGAATACCTGAAAGGCTAAAACTACAAATGAGTGAGTAATACTTTTTGTATTGTGCAGGTGCTGGAGGTGGTTCCTAAGGCAGAAGAAAACTACTTTAGACTTGGCAAAAGCCTATGATTCCTTGAAAATCAATAAGACATCAGTGAAGTCGATGCCATTTGAGCAATTTGCCCATTTAATTGAATCATCGGCTACCCTTCAAACTCTGAAAGCTTTGCTTGATCGTATTGAGAGCCGCATCAAGGCCTCTAGGAGTGGTGGTGCTGCCGATCAGCTATCCAGTCTGGATAACATTGATCATCTTCTCAAAAGAGTTGCAACTCCAAAGAGAAAGACCACTCCCAGGACTTCAATGAGAAGCAGAGAGGGTAAGAGAGTTACCTCAGTGAGGGAGACTGCCGAAAGTCTTGCTAAATCATCAAGATATCCCGTCAGAGTCTTTCTTTGTGCATACATGATATTGGGCCATCCCGATGCGGTTTTAAGCGGTCAGGGGGAGAGAGAGGTTGCTTTGGCCAAGTCTGCAGAAGCATTTGTTCAAGAGTTTGAGTTGTTGATAAAGATTATTTTAGAAGGTCCTATACAGAATTCTGATAAAGAATCTCAATGTGCATTGCCCAGACGTTTGACCTTTATGTCACAGCTCACAGCATTTGACAAAGCGTGGTGCTTCTACCTGAATTGCTTTGTGGTGTGGAAGGTTAAGGATGCTCAGTTGTTGGAGGACGACTTGGTAAGAGCGGCATGCCAGCTTGAACTCTCAATGATTCAAAAATGCAAGTTGACTCCAGAAGGAGATAATACTGCTCTTACTCATGATCTGAAGGCTATTCAAAGACAGGTAATGCTTGCAGCTTAAAGATTAAGAAGTTTACTGAGCCTCAAATGTACAATTAAAGTTGGAGATAATCATGCTTATTTTGAAGTTCTAATTGAATTTTCTTATAATTCAGGTTATGGAAGATCAAAAACTTTTAAGGAAGAAAGTGCAACATTTGAGTGGATGTGCTGGGATTGAAAGAATGGAATGTGCACTATCTGAAACACGGACTAAATTTTTTCAAGCAAAGGAAAGTGGGAGCCCAATGGAGTCGCCACTTATGTCCTTTATATCTCCAAATATCCATGGTTCTCCTAGTTCTCCGACTGCTCAAACAGATAATAGTGGTCGGACTCAGACACAAAACCGTGTTGTCCGCTCTCTGTTTAAGGAAGATGGCACATCCCCTTCTATAAAGTACGTTTCCTCTGTGCCTTGCAGCAGCCAATCAGTTGCTGGGCTGGGTTCTACCGAAAAGCATACGGTCACTGAGAATGAATTGATTGTTAATGAATTCCTTCATGGACAATGTGGGTTTGTTGATAACTTCAGTGCCATTGACGAAGATAAAAATAGCTTAAAGGTATGTGCATTTATAATAAATTAGTATTTGTAGAAGAAGCAGACACTAGGGATAGGAATTAATAATTACATGATTATATATTGCAGGCAAAGATGAGAGAAATAATGGAGAAGGCTTTTTGGGACGGGATCACAGAATCCATGCGACAGGATGAGCCTGATTTTGACCGAGTTATCGAGCTTGTGAGAGAAGTGAGGGATGAAATTTGTGAGCTGGTTCCTCGCTGTTGGAGAGAAGAAATAACCGATGCTATCGATTTAGAAGTTCTCTCCCAGGTACTAGAATACCTTTTACAATTGCCATATTAGTATTCTTGTTCCTAAAAGAAAATTCCCCTTTCTAAGGTGATGAAGTCGGGCAAATTGGACATTGCTTATCTTGGAAGGATTCTGGAATTTGCATTGGTGACTTTACAGAAGCTCTCCTCTCCATCCAATGATGATGAAATCAAGGCTGCTAACCAGAGGTTATTGAAAGAGTTAGCCGAGATATGTGAAGCCGGGGAGACATCGGAAAATTCTCCTTCCCTTGCAATGATCAAGGGTATACGTTTTGTCCTAGAGCAGATTCAGGTGTTTTCCGTCTCCATTTCTTATTCCTCTTGATCGAATGGATTCTTCATTGTATCACCTGTTTCAAAGGCATTGGAACTATATGCTTCGAGGAAGGTCTTTTCTAGTATCGTAATATGCTCTTTTTTTCTGGACAGGTTCTTAAGAGAGAGATAAGCAGAGCTCGTATAAAGTTGATGGAGCCATTGTTAAAGGGACCTGCTGCTTTGGATTACCTTACGAAAGGTTTCGCTAACCGTTACGGATCGCCTTCTGATGCGATCTCATCTTTACCACTGACCGTGCAGTGGCTTTCATCTGTCTGGAACTGCAAAGATCTGGAGTGGGGAGAACACCAAAATTCTGTGTCAACTTTGAAGGCAAAAGATACTTCATCTCAGGAGCTTTTTACTTCCATCACGCTTAAAACCGGTGGAAACTATAATTCGGGAAATTCAAGCCGAACTACGTTTGGCAATCCTAGTGCTTCTAACGTTACAGGTATGCATGTGAAACTACTAAAATTGTTTGAAGGGAAGCTTATTTTCGAGGATAACTCCCCGAAAATTGAAGCTAATATACTTAGAGATAGAGAGAATCTTAGCATATTAGCATCGACTTCCCAGAAGTCATCCCAGAAATAAGCTTTCTAAGATGTCTCTTAGAGACATCCAATCATAATTCGTATGTTCTTTGGTCAGGTCATGAACAATCAGAATGTAAGGGAGAGAGAGTTGATGTACTGGTTAGGCTCGGGTTGCTAAAGTTAGTGAGCGGAGTTTCCGGTCTAACACCGGATGCTTTGCCAGAAACCTTCGCGCTTAACTTCTCTAGATTGCAGGGCGTCCAGGCTGAGATTCAAAAGATCATTGTAATATCCACAAGGTATTATTCATTAGATGTTCATCTTGCGGAATTCATCGAGCGAGTAATGGATCTAATATTTTAGTTTTTGATCTGCAGCGTTCTTATTTTTAGGCAAATCATCTCGAGCTCAAGCGAGCAAGTAGTGGCTAGCTCCGATGACATGGAAAGAATAACATCAAACTGTGTGGAACAGCTTTCGGAATTCTTAGACCGTGTCGAAGATACGGGAGTCGAAGGGATCGTTGAAACAATCAGTAGTGGCATAGTAACAGACGAGACGAGGAAGGCTATGATGGCCAGGATGCTAGCAAAGTTCTTGCAAGCCGGGGATCCAGTGTTCGAAAAGGTGTCCAGTGCTGTTTATTTAGCTTTTAGAGGGATTCTGCTCGGGGGGAGCGGTTCCCATGGTAGACAGTTAGCGGGAATTGCTCTCCGTCGAGTTGGAGCTGGTTCTTTAACCGAAAGGGTCGTGAAAGAAGCCGAGGTGTTGGCGGTTGCAGCCACGGTGTCCGTCCACGTCCACGGGCAGTGGTATGCTACCTTGATCGGTAATGTGAATAATGTGTGAAAAAAAAGGCTACATTTAATTCTGAGGAACAAAGTATGGTCAGATGGATTTATCTAACTTGTATATGATCGGTTTAATGGAAATGTTGTGATGTAAACAATGTAGTTTGGTTAATGGAAAAAGGAATATATTTGTCTGCATATCATTATAATATTAATAATAATAATAATAATATAGATTAGATAAGTATATATTATGATTTTTATATTTTTAAAAGGTTAAAGTATATAGGTGGTCCCTTGACGATATTATTTTATTGAGTCATTTGATTATTAAAAGTTACAAAATGGTCCTTTGATTATAAGGAGTTGTTTTGTTGAGTCCCTCAACTATTAAAAGTTATAAAATGATCACTCGACTATTCATTATGTTACAAACGTGTTATGTTAAAAAATTAACGATCGTCTGAGCTGGACATTAACTTGTTGATTAAGATATGATAATCATTTGAGATTATAAGATCAGATTGATGTACAACTCATACTGTCATCAAAATCTTAATAGAAAATGACGGGTTTGAATAGAAAATGACGAATTTGGAACATAATGAATAGTTGGATGATCATTTTATAACTTTTAATAGTCGGGTGACACAACAAAACATGTGACTCAACAAAACAACTCCCTATAATCAAATGATCATTTTGTAATTTTTAATAATTAAGGGATTCAATAAAGCATTATTTTATAGTGAGATCATTTGTTTACTTTACCCTTTTTAAAATGAATGAAAATGTAATTATAATTATTAATTTCAAAATAAATAATTGATTATTAGTGCAAAACGAAATTAATCATTGAATTTTCTTTTATATCCGATGCTTATAAGGTTACAATTTTGTTAACTAAGATTATGTAAGATAAACATTGTTGTTAGGTTCATGTTCTTTGAAACAAGTCGTATAGAGTCTCAACTTTTGTTTCTTCTTCAATGCCTTCGTATTCTTCTTCATCGATGGTTAACGGCTGTGATGCATCAATGTTTATCGACTCCGATAAGTACTCCTCCACCCTCGACGAGAAGTCAACCAGGCCGGTGTTGGAAGTCCCGAGAATGGCCGCCGCTTGTTCCGAGGATGTTATAGTTATTTGATTCAACGACTCCATGGATGAACTTCTCGATAAAGTGCCGACCGTGACAGCATCCCTCTCGTCATCGACGATCGATTCAAGTGAGCACACGGATCTCGCGGTATGCGAGTGCGTGGATTCGCGTTTCGACTTCGCTTTCACTCTTTTACACCAACTGTGAAGTGATTCTCTTACGCTCTCGGCGACTAAGGCTTTCTTGCACCGAGATCCCATCTGAAAACGTCAGCGAAAGCCGACGTCGGTGAGGCGAAAAAACACGACAGTTATGATATTACGGCGGAAAGATATGCATGAACTACGTAAACACTCATCGAGCTCGAGGACAAGCAAACCTGTGTGACAATTACATTCAAAGGCACCGTGATAGAGCTACACCAGAACTGAACAAGAACCCTGCATTTACCCAATGACACATTATAGACAACAAATGTTCATTGAAGTTGTGTATCGAAGCTCGGTGTCGAAATAAAACCGTACCCGGAAACCAATCGGAAGGCGATCATAAGATGGTTTTTCATGAAGCACGATGTATGCTTGAATCCCCACTAAACAAATCGAGAGAACGAAGATTAGTCCGCTTAAAGAAGAAACTAACTACCCCTGCAAACGCCTTGCAATGCACAAGAACTTCAAGCTTACCAATGACCATAGAAAGGTAGCCATCTCAAAGGCATTCTGCACGAACAGAACGAGTAATTAACCCGAAACCGATACTGATACTAAACCGAATGGTACATAAGACATGTGAAGCATAGGGTCTTACCTGAAAAATGATAAACTGTATCAACCTGAGTAATATCTCCGGTTTCCGGAACCAGAACAAATCGTCGCGCGGCTTCACTTGCGCTCCGGTAGGCGGACCGGTCTGTTCCTTAATCTCCAATGCTAATGAGGAAACAACATGCTGAAGCTTCGTCCCAACCAACATCACAAGCTTCGACATTCGAAACAAATCATTCCTCAGTTCTTTCTTTCTTTCTCGAAAACAAATTTCTAGTTCGAGTCGATGTACTTACAAGGGCAGGGATGAACGACAACCAGAAGTAGATATTCAATCCTGAACCACACAAGTAAATACGTATCAATGCGCCTTGGTTCGACCGGACTTGAGAATCGTAAAACCGAAGCAGATGTACAAAGAAAATGTTGCAGAAGTAAACCAGTTACCATGAATGTTAATGAAGATGCAAGCTATAGCATATGCCCAAAGTGGCCAGCTGCAAAACCGAAACACAATTCTATTATATGATCTGACACATTAATAGTTTTGATCATAATGTGCACTTACCTAATACCAAGAATGCCTTGAAACTCGTCTTCCATGCTTCGAACCATATAGCTATGGAAATTATACGAAAGCGGCAGCTTGTGCTTCTGGAAAATAGAAGAAGAACGTCGAATCTCAAAGTAAAGGTGCAAATGAACTTAGTTTTAACAAATAAAGTTATATTCGTATTCGTTTATTTTTTGAAGGTGTTTTATTCGATTCGTATTCATTTAAATTTTTAATACCACATTTATATTTATTTACTTATTTTTAAAAATATCCGTATTTGTTCATTTAGCTTTCACGATTATATTCATTTAATATTCGTTAATATCATTGTTTAACATTTGTCAAGATGTTCTTTATATATTAAAATAAAATAAACAAATAAATAAAAATGGTAAAATAATGTCATTAGTCTTTAATCTCCTTAAGCTTTACAATTTGAACTCTAAAGTTTACTTTGTGTTCAATTTAGTCCCTATCATCACTTATATTTAAAAAAAAAAATCGGATAAAGAAGTTTGTTCAATAACAAAAACTAGCCGAGTTCATTCATTTATCAAGTATAAAAATTTTGTTCATACTCATTTATTTACTTTAATAAACGATCGTAAAAAAAAACAGATTAGGAACAATTCATTCAACACACTGTTTATTTACACCTACTAGCAAGTAAGCAGCATAGATGATGAAGGAGAAAGAGATAACTCACCATGATGAACCCTAGACGAAGTGCCAAGTAATCCGATTTCTCTATAGAGCTCCTGAATTGTCGTAGAAAGCAAAGCTGTACACACAAACAGCAAAATCAAAGACTAAATGACAGAAAATTACGGGGGGGGGGGGGGGAAACATCGCCGAATATGTATAATTGAGAACGAAGATCACACCATCCAGATGAGAATTCGACTCTTGCTCCATGGATGAGATGTGTGATGGAAAACGAAGGTGGTTTGTCGTCTCATCACTTTGTTTCTCTTCGCTACACGCAAGGTAAATCGTGATGGGGAAAAGAAATCATGATCGGAAAAACAAGAACTAATATGTTGATGATACTTACCTTGCAAGCTTCCGATTCCATCGGGTATGGAGTTGGCTAGGTTTTCCCATTTTCTCCAGCTATAGATCTGCAAAGCAAAGATGGAGATTCCAAAACCATGGACCACTTCTATAATCGAGTTTATGATTATCATTTTGTTAAATTTTAAGAAATTTATGTTTGTTTCGAAGTCCGATATATTGGAGGTGTTTGGCAAACAATTTTTCGAAATTTTTTTAGTTTATTTAAACATAAATATTTAATTGATAGTTAAATTATTTATTTTTAGTGTTTGATAAACACATTTTTTAAAGGTCTTATTGTACAAAATAAACTAAAAATGAAAACGTTAGTAAATCCTTACCATAAATAAGATTTTATTTTTATTTATTCTATTTTTTATTGTATATTCTTAAATATATTTTAATTAAGAAAATATAACAAAACATAAAAGTAAAAAAAAAATGTAGTGTTGATATTTTATATAAAGTTAATAGTATGTATTAATCACAATGTTAATATTTGTAAATATTAAATTTAAAAAATATGTTCAAAATTTTTAAAAATATTCACTAATTTTCTTAAGGAATTTTTAATTCATTGTCAAAAACATTTTATCCGAATAATTTACCCCAATAAAGACTGAAGTATTATAAAACATATATGTACTTAATAACTAAATATATCGTACCCTTATTTGTCATTTTACTCATATCAGCTATCACCTAAATTTTACCAAACACTTCTATATAAACAATTAATCAAATCAGTTGATCAAACCATCTACTGGAATCATTTACCAGCTATAAGTTATTAGCCAAACACGCACGAAGCTTTGTTTAGTGATTTAGTACATAGAATTGTCAATTTTAGTCCGTTTTAGTATATAATTTTTTTTCAAAATCATACCTAAAGTTTAGTTTTTGTTTCGTTTTAATATATGTCGTTAAAAATTTTAGTTTTTATTTCATTTTAGTACCCATTCAAAATTTTACGTTAAGTTTAAAAAAAATGAAAGTTTATGTACTAAAACGGACAAAAACTTATAGTTTATGCACTAAACGCGTTGAGTTTCTAATGGTAGGATATTAAAATGAAATGAAACTAAACGTTAGGCGTGATTTTGAAAAAAATAAAAATTTAGGTATTAAAACGAATCAAAACTAATTGTTTAGGACTAACTGTGTAGTTTATCCTTTTTTATGATTAGAAGAAATACATAGGTAAATACTAAATTATATCTCCTAATTTTAGTTCATTTTGATTTTGTTCCTCCCTCATTTCCTATAATTAATTATACTTTCCCCTAATATCCTGACTCCAAAAGTTAAGGGACTGAATAGTAAAATTAATAATTAATGTTACATATATGTTTTAAAGTGGTTGAGGACAAATTTAGTCAAAAGTTAATCTTAAACAAAGAAAGAATTGAATAAGCAAAGAAATTAGGGATCAAATAACAAAATAATCAATTTATTCAGTTACAAACCAAAACAATGTTTTAATTATTATTATTTTTTTCATTTATTCGAACTTTTCTAATTCAAACTTCCCTTAAACTCAAAATTAAAACCAAAAATTCAAATTAACTCAAATAATTTAAAATAAAAAATTATTTTTTTAATCGAATCAATATTATTCCCTACTACTCAATAGATCAGAAAGAAGAGAGGGTGTACCTTGCTCATAGCCAGGCCAACAGCCAGACAACTGTAGAGGACGTGAGTAATGCCCAGAACGAACAAGAACCGGTGGAGTTGCTCGAGTCCTTCGAACGACACGAACGGTTCACGGCCCTACGTTCAACCGGTACCGGTGAGATGGTTATTTTGCCGATATCGAAACCAAGTCGAAATGAGCAGGGGTTTTACCTCGCCACATTGATGTGCCGTAACAGCATGTAATCCTTTAGGAGGAACAACACTCTCATTCGAAGAAGATGGGGTACTCTCCAGCAACATGTTCTTGTTTAGATCGTAATCCATCTCGGAGCAAGTATAGAAGCGGCTCGAGAACAACGACGAGTTTACGCAAATCTCGGAGATCCATCGTGCCCATTGTGCCAACAACAATGATATAAGACCCAACAGCATCAACTCTGAATTATGATCCTCATTTTTAATTAGGGGTGTATTTAGTTCGGTTCGGTTTGGTTTTTTACTAAAAATTGAACCGAACCGAAAAAACGGGTTTTTAGAATTTAAACCGAAACTGAAATCGAATGTTTAAAAAACCGAATTATGTGAAATCGATTTTTTCGGTTCGGTTCGATTTTTTTAACGGTTCGGTTTATCGGTTTTCTGATAAAAAATTCACTTAAAACTATAATTTTTTAAAAAAAAAAACTGTCTATTCGGTTCAATATAGAACAAATGGGTTCTATATGGAAAACCCGAACCGAATCAACAGAATTGAGACTTTAAACCAACCCGAAAACCGAACATTATAAGGTCAAACCGAACCGAACCGTTTTACTCGGTTCGTATCAATTTTTCGGTTTTCTCGATTTCGTTGCTCAGCCCTATTTTAAATTGATTCTCAAATTTTTGAATATTTTTATCACTGAACTATGACTTTTACTCTATATTGAGCACTAAACTTTTGAATGTTCTAATTTCATCTCCGAACTTTTGAATGGTTTAGGAGAAGTTATTGGTCGAAAGTTTGAGATCAATGTAGAATAAGAGTCAAAGACTCACACTTTGAGAATAAATTTCAAAAGTTTGGGATCTATTTAGAATCTACGGAAAGTTATTGGAAAGTTCAAAAGTTTGGGATAAATTTAAAACGAGTCTTGGTTTGGGGATGAATTTCAAAAGTTTAAGATCCATTTAGAATGTGAATCATAATTTGATGATAAAATTAAAATGTTCAAAAGTTTATAGACTCATTTAGAATGAGTGTCATAGTTTGATGATGTACAATACAATTAACTCTAAGATAAACTACGCATTTAGTACTTAAATTATCAGTTTTGGTATGTTTAGTGTCAAAACCTTCAATTATTTTCAAAATCATAACTAACATTTAGTTTTTATTTCATTTTAGTATCTCACCTTTAAAAAATTAACGTGTTTTGTACTTAAACTATCAGTTTTAGTCCGTTTTAGTACTTAAACTTTTATTTTTTTTTCAAAACTTAACTTTAAGTTTTGGATCGGATACTAAAATGAAATAAAAATTAAAATTTTTACTGTTATGTACTAAAATGAAACAAAAACTAAATTATAGGTACTAAAGCGTAATTTACCTTTAACTCTGTTATTCATAATGAAACTACTCCGAAATAGATGTATAGTCACTCACCTTCCTTGATCTTCTCCAAAGAAGCAAACAAAGCTTTCCGCCTGGTTTTCTTTAACCACTACACAGATTAAAAATCAAACTCAGATGAAAATAAAAACAATGTATTAGCTCAGCAGCAACATACCCATATTTTCCTTCATGCTTTTCGACATTTTCTCAGTAACCAAACATACCGTCATACCCTATACTTTCCCATAACTAAAACCTGAGTTTTCTCCATACTCACCTTTCCAAATCTATAAATGGAGCGTTCAACCAAAAAGCAAACGAAAACCAACACTGTAATGACAGAAGCAACAGTATAAGTTGGAGTCTCTGCTAAAGACCTTCCTCCCATCATCATCTTTTCCATTCTTCTTTTCCCTTACATCAACAAGAAAAAAAACTCAAACTTTCTCAGTTCCTTCGAGCTCCATTGTTTATAAAAATGGAAGCTTTACAGAGAAAATGAAGTACCCAGTTGGCAGGAAGATGAAAGATCCGGGAAAGGAGGGGACGGGGTATTAACTAAAGATTTAAAGACACAGACTTTTTTATATATATAAAAGGTGAGAGAAGAACGTGGGAAGATGATTAAAAACCATTAGTTTAACATGCAGTGTTTTGTCGTTACTTGTGAATTTGCAAACAGACCCACCTTCATTTTGCATTGAAAATGGAGTTTAAATTGCAATAATCTCTCGTTGTTGATGCTTCACCGAATCCAACCTACTCACATGGGAAAGGGCTCCTCTCTCTCACTCTTTTTCTCTCTCTCTTTAAATTTATGGGTGCTTTTTGAGTTTTGAAGATGATAGGCTAGGGATGGTCAAATGATATTATTATTTTTACTTAATTATAGTCCTCAAAGTATAGCTCTTTTATAAATAGGTGTGTAGATTATTTATTTTAAGGGTTAATTACTTCAAATACCACCAACCTCTATTTAAAATAGGTGTGTATCACCTTGCCGCGAAATGCTTTGGGACCCTTGTTCAAAGGGAATTCTGGGATATTTGGCACACCACTAAACCCTTGTTCGAAGTGCTTTGCATAAGCCTTGACATAATTAAAGACCTTCTGTTTGTCAGGAAAAATTGTTTGGCTACCAAGAAAACCATAGAAAAGGAGATACAGATGAAGAGGAGGAGGAAGAGAAAAAAATAATGGGAAAATTTGAGTTTAGTCTTTTAAGCACTAAAACAAGAACGTTAAAACGACGTCGTTTAGATGAGGCATCCACGTCAGTAACGTCACGGCATGTCATTTCCATGTCATCGTGTCGTTAAATCATTAATGGTGAAGTAGTATAATTGTACTTAAAAGTAAATGTTAGTGTTAAAATTGGTAAAATTGAAACGTTGGTAGTATAAACGACTCAACACTTAAAATTTGGTGATATTTGAAGTAGTTGACCCTTTTTTAATAATCATAGTGTCTAACGTTATAAACGCTATCACTTTAGGTGATCGGGCAGTCAACGACATTAATTTACTCTGTTAAATGACATATGTCATATTCCAATAATTTAAAAAATTAAAATTATATTTTAAAAAACATAGAAAATTTGAATAACCCCGAAACTTTAAAAACATTCATTTCAACCCCTAAATTCACGTCAACTGTAGCCCTTTACCATCGAAGAAGCTTCACCCTACCTCACCTTCTTCGGCTACCAAAATCCCTATGAAATCGTGATCGATCGACGGCGAATCAAAGTTTTATATCTCATGAATCCTAGGATGAAAATCACAATCCCACACGATTCCGACGACGAATCAACGGCAACTACGACATCGTATGACTAGGAGAATGGCATAGACTACGTCGAAGGTAGTGGTCATGGTTAGAGATGACAAAAAAAACCGAACCGTAAGGAAAAACTGAAAAACCGAATTAAACGGGTCGGGTTCGGGGATGATAAACGGGGACGGGGACGAGTTTGGTAATCCCCACCCCGATAAATATTTTGGATTGTTTTGTCTATTTGAATTGTTTTGTTTTTATATTTTGGATTCATTTGGTGGTGTTTGGCGTTTTAAGCAAGTTTAGATCCAATAATGACATTATTTTTTAATTAACTCGTGTCATCTTGTGAAATTTAAACGGTAACGAGGATCCATTTTAAATCATCGCAGTTTTTTAAGTGGGGACGGATACGAGGTTTTTAAACGGGGACGGGGGAACCAATCCCTGACTCAAAACCACCCCGTTGCCATCCCTACTCGTGATCGAAAAGGGCGATAATGGATTAGGGTTAGGATTTAGGGGTTTTGGTGGTTTTTTATAAATTAAGAAAAAGTAGGGTTTTTATAAACATAAATATTTTTAATATTTCAAAATTACCAGTTTGTGACATGTGTCACGTAACGGAGGAAATTAATGTTGTCGATAGCCCGAACACTAAAGTGATAAGTTTGTAGGCACATGATTATTCAAAAAATAATTTACACAACTATTCATGAAAACACGCTATAGTCTAAACACTTATTTTATATTTAAGCCTTGTTTTTTAAAAAATACTTAATTATTAAATAAGTGCACAAACTATACCGTTTTTCCTAAATAGATATCGAAACTTTTTCTTGAATCATCCAGATGCCAAACGTTACCCTTTATGTGCCCGAGCTGTAACCATCGTTAAAATCTATTGTTAAGTGACACGTGTCATATTTTGTTAATTTAAAAAAATATTAAAATTATATATTAAAAAACAAAAAAATCAAAATAGCCCTAAACTTTGAAAACTCTCATTTCAACCCCTAAATCCATATTGACCGCCGCCCTTTACCGTCGACGAAGCTTTATCTGACCTTACATTCCCTCGACGATAAATAAGCCTATGAAATTACGACAATTGATGAGCAATCGATGTTTTATACCCCGCGAACCCTAGGCTGAAAAATCATGACCCCAAGCGATCTGACGACAACTATGGCAGCGTGTTACTAGGAAGATGATAGTGACTACATTTGCGACGTTGGTCGTGGTCGAAAAAGGAAACAATGGCGGGTTACTAATTTAGGATTTTTAGGGATTTTTAAAATTTAAGAGAAACTAGTTTTTTTATAAATATAATAATATTTTCAATTAGAAAAACACAAAAATACTAGAATATGGCATGTATCCCTTAACCAATGACTGGAACTTAACGAAAAAGCCTGGAGGGCCAACTTAAAACTTTAAAAAAAATTAAATGTTTAAATTAAATTTTTTTAAAAACATGAATGGCTTAGTTTATACTTTTCAAAAAAAAATTAGGGTTTAACTAAAATTTCTAAAATTTTGAGAGACTTTAATGAGAATTTTTTAAATATAACGGGAGAGAGTTTAACTAAGAACATTAAAACATTTTAAAATTTAATATGAATTTCTAAAAGTTTTAGGGGGCATTCCCCACTAGTCCTTCTTATGTTTCGCCCTATTCCTTAACGGAGAAAATTAACGACGGTTACGATTCAGACACATAAAATGATAATATTTATAAATAATTTATTAAATAATGTTATAAGTTTGAAATTTGACGATGTGAATAAATTTTATTAGACGGATCATCTCCATAAATATTCATATAAAATATTTAATCTAAATTAATCATACAATTAATTGAATATATATTATTATAAAAATTTACAGAATACTTCATGATATAAAAATCATGTGAGGGTTGGTTGCATATTTTATTATGGTGTAAATCTCATAATGTGTGTTGTTTTCATATTTATTTTTGTTTCTATTTTGGTTATGTTTTTTATTTTTAACTTGATAGGGCTTGTAATGATCATTATTTTAATTATATTTATAGTTGCAGAAAATAATGTAAAAATTTAGAATAAAATAACCATAACTAGAGGAGAAACATTTTATTATAATCAACAATAAATAATATCAACGAGTGTTGACACAAGTAGTTCAGATTCAAAAATTTGAGTTTGTAAGGCCAAGTTCGAATCCCACCACCGTCATTCTTGGTGGACAATCTGTAAAATCTTATGTAAATCTCAATTGAGTCTTAGGTATACCCTGACCCTATACTGGGGAGCCACCCCTGACCTAAACTTTTGTATACAAAAAAATCAACAATATATCATAAAAGAGTTATACACAAATACATCAAATTATGGAATGTCTTTGAGTTTATTATAAAGTTTTGAAATAGGAATATATTTTCTGTTATTTTTTTTAATTAATATATTATTAAAGTTTTGTTTCATGAAAAATATATATAAAAGATGGAAAATGCTAATAGAATATTATTCATAAAAATAATAAAATATAGTGTTGACTCAACTTGGACTTTATTTAATTAGAGCTCGTGCAGCTCAGCCGACCTACGCTATGTTGTATATGTCCCTATATTATTCTATGGGTAAACTACACCCCAATGGTCATTAATATTTGAGTAATATTTTGTTTTCTCCACTGAAGTTTTAAAAGTAATAAATTGGTCACTAAGATTATCGATTTATAATGAAATTGTCACTCCACCGATATATTTGTTAAATTGATGACGTAATGTTAATAAAGAGGTTAATATTTAGTTTTACCCACAAAATTGTTACTAAAACATCAAATAAGTTCTTAAACAATAATTTTATATCTAATTTATCTCAAAAGCATTCTAATTTATAGTTTTTTCAAACTCCCCACCACAAATGTATTCGAACCATCTTCCTTACAAAATGAAAGCCACACTCTATAGACAAATGGAGTTTTTTCCATCAAAGACAAATACATGAGTATTTAAAGCTATATATTCAATTAATTTTAATGTAAAAAATAATGTTTTTGGAATGCTTTTTGTTTGTAGTTAAAATATTTAAGGACAAACGATTGTTTGTTTAACTGTGATTTTCGTTTTGTAAGGAAAGTGATTAGAATATAATTGAGATGGTGGAATGTTTAAAAAGCTGGAAATTAGAAAGCTTTGAGGATAAATTAGATATAAAATCATTGTTTAAGGATCTATTTGATGTTTTAGCAATAGTTTAGGGGGAAAACTAAATATTAACCTTTTTATTAACGGTGTCACATCATTAGTTTAACATAGAAAACGGTGGAGTGACATTTTGTTACAAACCGATAGCGCTAGGGACTAGTTTGTTGCTTTTCAAACTTCTATGGAGAAAACAAAAACTTAATCAAACAATAGTGATCATAGGTGTAGTTTACTCTTTTTTTGGTATCAATAATATGTATCCAATTTATTGATCGATTAATTCGATTGATTATTACAGAGACGATGACGAACCTCCCAAGTCTTGACCCGTTTATTTCATTCATAAACGTCAAAATTCAAATATATAATCTTATCTATAAAATTTAGTGTTTCACCCTATTAAACCATTAATTATCGATATTCCTATATTATAACAGGGACAGCATAATGGTCCTGTAATATTGGACTTGGTTCAAAAACAACTACTAATTCTACAAAAATAACATCTTGGTGTTTTTCAATCGAAGACCGCATAGCGCAGTGGATTAGCGCGTCTGACTTCGGATCAGAAGGTCGTGGGTTCGACTCCCACTGTGGTCGTTGTTTTTTTCTGGTTCAAATATTTAAGTTTTGGGCCTTTTTTTTAGTTTCAAACATCATTGCATTTAAGGGTGATCATAGATAGGGTCGAGTCTAATTTTTACTAATCTAATCCCGATTCTAGAATAATATTATTATTATTAAACCGACCCAAATAAATAAAAAATAATCATTTTTTATAAAATAATAATCTAATTTGAAATATATAGAAGTGTGCATTTAGGGATGATCATGGATAAGGTCAAGTCTATTTTTTTTATTAATCTAATCCTCATTGAAGAATAATATCATTATCTAATAAAAACTTTAATTTAAAAACTTAAATCTGACCCACATAAATAAAAAATATATTTTTTGATAAAATAATAATCTAATTTAAAATATATAGAGATGTGCATTATAGTACGTACCAAATAACTTCAATGGTAAATGAATTATTGTTATTTTTGAATTCTTGAGTTCGAACACCTATAACTTGTAAAATAACCGTGGGGATCCCTAAAAAATAATCGTAGGCCCGATACTTTACAAAAATAACCGTGAGGACACTCGAAAAATATATGTGAGATTACGTGTTGTCACTGTTACATCTCAAAGGAATTGAAATTGAAGTTTATATATTTTTTCATTTAATATACATTTATTTGTTGAGATTGAAAATGATTAAGATTATACATATACTTTGGGTGTTAGATGAATATTAACGTTTGGAACTTTCATATTATAGATACAGACCAATTTGGGACAATCTGATATATCTTACAAGTTTTATGTGTTCCATTGATTTTAAAAATGTTTGTTTATTTTTTGGATGGAGATTAACCGAAACCCGCATAGATCTTTAAAGGATGGGTATGGGGATAAAAAAATCTCCGAAACATATAATGAGAATTTCCCAAAATCATATCCGCAGGTGTTTGGGACGAAATGGATAACGCAAAACCGTCTCCGCTCCGTTGCCACCCTTACTTGTCATATTTGAATAAAATGAAAACTTGTCGTATTTCAACAAATTTATCTCAATAAAATCAACTCAAATGTATATATTATATATTTAAAAGATTGTTGGCAAATCAATTTTTTTTGTATTAATTTAATGTGATTATAAAATAATATCTATTTTAAATACTCAATAATTAATACTCAATTATTCTACTCCAAATGTTATTGCTCAAACCGTAACTTTTAAATAATGTTTTGAAAATTGGATTGGACCCGTCGGTTCAACCGGGAATCGCTGTCTTGTCCGGTCCATTCTATCCCGGTTGAATCGGTTCTAGTGAACCACAAGGAACCGTTCGAACCAGCTTTGAACCGCTCGAACCGGACCGGACCGTGAACCGGTTCAACCTATTTTTTTTTTTTTTTATTAAATATTTTTGATATTTTTATTTAATTTTTTAAATAATTATGACGTCGTCCGATTCTTACGACAAATTTAATCTATTCAATCGATTAAACCAATTAATCAATAGCACAACCGGTTCGTTCACCTTTCCGGTTTTGAAAACCATACTTTTAAAAATACTAAAAAGGTATTTCCCCCATAAAGTTTCCCGTCACACTCTCAGCTTTCTTCACACATTCCCGCCACCAAATAAACCTAATCTTCAGTCCCTGACCAAAGCCCTCTCTCGCCTTAGATTTTACGGAGGAAATTAAACAAGGTAATTTTTGAAACCCTAAGCTTTACTTGTTAATTGATTTCTCCCTCTGCATCACAATGTTTTATTTAATTTTTCTGTTTCTGATCCTACCGCTCGTTAAACTTTCAATCTCTGTTTACTTCTTTGAGAACAAGGTTTTTTTTTTCAAAAGCCTTTGGTTTAGCAATTTTCGGTTACGCTGCTACTTGCGGCCGCGATTCGCTGCCGTTGACTTAAACGTAAAATTTGTTCGCACCGCTGTTGAGGTCTTACATCGATGGCGGATGGCGCCGCTTCCTCGAAATAGCAGCCGCGATGTTGTTATGCCAGAGCTATATGAAACACTTAGAACTACTTCATTATCTACCTATAATGCTTTAACCTATAATGCTCATTAGTTTTACACGAAAATATATCCGACTCTAAATGGATGACAGAGATTAGAGTTTTGTGTTTCTTTTTCAATTTTCACCCAAAAAATGGATAATTTTGCTTTAACCTCAACAAGCCATCCATTTAGATTAATCCGATGGCTATATTTTCTGTTAAAACTAATTAGATTTATGCAATGTAATCGGATCCTACCAGTCTATAAATGTATATTGACTGTTAGTGAATGGCTGGAATTGAATTGTAAATTTTAAATATGAGTGTAACTTAAGCTTAAGAAGGATAGAGTTAGAAATGAGTTTATCCATTGCCAAGTTGGGATAGCTGCATAGAGCATAAATTGGAGAAAACCATTTACGGTGCTTTGATTTGCAAAGAATGCAGAACAAGGGATGCAATCGTAAAGAGGTGGAATGAATTGATATTTATACATTGATTGAATTATGCATGTGACTTGATGTATTTTTTCGAGTATGCGTGTCTCAACACCAAAAGTATCGGTTATAGATTTCTTGTAATGGTTAAAGCTTTGATTGCATATACAGTATTTTCCGAAGTAGATGTTCTAGTTTGAAATATGAATTTTGGAATCAGTTTAACATATCATGGTTTTCTTTAAACCTGCTATTACTTATTCCGTTGTGTTGATGTCAGTTAAATGTACTCTTTAAGACAGTGTTCAGCGCAGTGAGGAGGAAGAAATGAGTGCTTTCAATAAGTTCAAAGCTAGCGTCCCAATTGCTTGGAGTCCGAACCTCTATATAACCCTTGTGAGGGGAATTCCCGGCACCAGAAGGCTTCATAGGCGCACTTTGGAAGCACTACGCCTAGGCAAATGTAACCGCACTGTCATGAGGTGGAACACCCCCACAGTCCGGGGAATGCTTCAGCAGGTATAAAACCCCTAATTTGAGTTTTGTTCTTCCATTGATTTTTTTCCTTTCCCATTTTTTTATTGAGGTGTTTTATGTTTAGGTGAAGAGGTTGGTTGTGGTTGAGACTGAAGAAATGTTTAAGGCACGCAAAGCAAATGAAGCCAAACACCGAGCAGTACGCCTCCCTATTGTCATTAGTCATCTTCCAGCTTCTGCGATTGACTCCTCTAAGCAGCCTTAGAAGGTCTAGAATAGTTAGCAGGTGAAGTCGAGAACTTTGCTGAGATTTGAAATATGAAAATTTGAGGTCAAAACGCTGGTCTACCGTGTTTATTAAGTTTTATTTAAGTGCTTGAAAGAACAAAGAGAGTAAACACCTCTGCCTGAGCTAGTTTTTCCACCTCTGTTTCAGTAGTGGTTGTTCTGATAGACTTGTTTTCAACATGTTTGAAGGAAATAATCAAGTAAAAAATGGTGAAACTTGAAATATTAATGTATTGAACCTTTTGTTCTCCACAGCATCAAATCAGTTAGGTTCATTGTGTTTATAATTGTTGACCTACAATTAGTGAGGTGGCGATTGGTGGTGTTTGCCTGTGGTTCATCTTGTCCTGTCTAAACAGAGCCATTAGGGGAGAAAATAAATATGTTAGTCGGTGACTGTTTACCTCTTTTAGTTTGGATTGAGAGTCGTAGTCGACGACGGTTTGCCCCTTTTAGTTTGGATTGAGAGCCATGGAGGGATGACAATGATCTAAGAAAAGGATTCGGGGTCTTATGTACTCTCTGTTTTCGATGTCAATAGACTGTCGGATAATCGGAAGTGGATAGATTAGTTCAGGGTCTGTCGTGCCTATTTGTTAGAAAATAATAGGTTGAATTTCTGTTACTAAAAGTTGTTGAGCTTGTTAGTTTGTTAAATAGTTAAGACTTAAGGACTATAGATATGATGTATTGGGTCATCGTCCATTTACCCCTATTGAATACAAAAGTGAATTCTTTCTTAATATTCTACTTCTATCAGTCTCTCTTCTTTCCTTCCCTTCCACGCTCATCAACTCCGGCCACCGGCCGTTTGTCACCTCCGGCCTCCATGGCCCCTTTCTTACATTAGTTAGAGAATGTGACAAAATAAATTGAATGATCTAGTTCAAGTAAAAAAAGATGTATTGAGGTGCTATACTCCTACTCCGAAGTCGGAGGCGGTGGTGTTTCGGTGCCGATCCCTCTGCAATTTTTAGGCCTATTGGATCAGCTGGTAATAAAAATATTCATTAACATTGATATTAAAAATGAGTTTAAATTTGATGTAAATCATATTTCAAACAAGAAAATAACATATAAACAAGCATATTCTTCCTTAAATTGGTCCCTCCTAAATTATAAATCCTAATTTAGTATTTAGGGTTTAGAGGTAATAAGATTATGATTTATAATTCAGGGTTTTACGTTAAGGATAGAGTATAGAATGATACAATTAAGTAACTTTGAGAGTTAAATTGATATGAAAATACGATATAGGCGGAAATGATAAATTAAGTCTATTACAGGAACAAAAGTATCATTTTCGGGGACAAAAATGATCCTTTTACCTAAAATAAAATATAATTATTCAGATTCGAACGAGTAAATTGTTGGCTAGATTTTGAAGAAAGTTCAGCTAAGGATACATTAACAAATCGAGTATTACAAAGGCAGGCAACTAACTTCCTTCTCAAGAAAATATATCTCATGCCTGAACCAGTTTCATTTGTAGGTCATCTCAGCAAATAATACATTACATATATGTGTATAAATATATAGAAAAGATGAAACTAATGCCAAATAAAATGATATTCATATAGGTTCGAGTCGCTGTCACGCCCTCGTCAAGGAGTAGCAAAGTCTAGCCATTACCAGTAGCACTGCTCGACGCTCGCAATCCCTATAAAGTACTGTACTTGTTAGATAAAGCTAAACAAACTGAATCCACAGTTGAAAGTCGACGGAATGACAATTAGGGACATAAAAAACTTTGCTCTCGAAGCGACAGATTTAGGTAAACACGGGGCGTATACCTTAAAAAGTGAACACTATTGACACATGAAATTCCTAGCCAGTCAACCGTCAGATCGGTCATGCATGTTTTCGGTGAAAAACTGCCAATTACTATGATCGAGAGCACTCAAGTCATCAAGATCTGCAATGGCTAACAGGTATTGGGTGAGTTTTACAAGCTCCTGATCAGTGTCTCGGTTGGCATGAGCCTTCCGGAATGGCTTAATCGTCAAACCGTTCTGTGGGTTCATCACGAAATTTCTTCGTAGATCATCAAACATTATTGTGTTCTTTGAACTGTAAAACTGAAAATATGTAAATAGACCAAATGTCAGTCTAACCAGGCAATGAATTCATTGATTTCTGATTCGAACACAACGACCTATTGAAGCAAGCAAAACCAAAGCAAATTCGATTTTAATAAGTACCTCGGGAAACTGTGCCCAAATTAAACCAAGTCGTTTGCAATTGAAGATTCCACGAGTATCTGATTGAACAGCGGTCATCGCTAAATGATCTAGAAGGGCTGTGATTTTGTAGTTCGGGTTGTTTAGTACTCCAAGTTGTCCCATCTTCAATTCAATCCGTTTCATGCTGGAGAGAGGAAATATAAACTTTAGAAATCCAGATTATAAGAACACAAGATTTAACTCATTTCATCTCTATGTCGCAAAATTTCGTCATTTTCTTGAAATGAGTCCAACATCCATATCCGTGTCGGAAACGGGAACACAACTCTCAAAACATGAAACAACTTTGAAAAAAATAACATGCCCGTGTTGGGTACGGGTTTGATGATAAAAATGATGAGAATCCTACTATGTTAAAGCTCGAGTTGTGATAACTTTTAGGCTTATATGTGACAACTCTACTAAAATTAAGTTGTTGCTAAGCATATATTTCTTTCGTAAAAATTAACATCTTCGACAGAAGGAAAGTAAAAATTGTTCATAAAAATCACCTGGTTGCAGACCAAATCATGATATCGTACTCCGCATATGCAACCGTAAGAGACTCATGAAGATCTGTAAAAGGATATTTTCACCATTAGCTCCTATTGAAATACACCAAACATGATTTTAAATAAAAGGGCAATAAGCTCACAAGGCCGCATAAGTTGAAGTGGATTCTCAGCTGTTGACCGATGATCAAATAAAGTATAATCTATATCCAAAACAAGCAGTTTCTTTCCTTTACGGCACGGAGTTTTTAGTTCGATCTAGATGTAAAACATGACAAGAAGATCTCATCAACAAATCGTATGCAAGGAGTGTTTAAAAAGGCACACTACTCTGTCTAGAGTAAAACAAACACACAATTGTTAATAAGAGGGTTAAATTAAACCCTCAGCATGATCAAATCTAACAATGTCCAATACTTTACTAATTCACCGAAGCAAATTCAGATATCGATCTTTCACAATAAGAACTCAAACATTTTCTACCACCAAAACAACATATGTATTACATGAAAGCGGAAACAAGTAAAGAATTTCCCAGACAAGATACTTCATTGTAAGTCCGTTAAACCTCGACTTTAAAGCACTCGATCGAATATTGATGACCAAGGAACAAGCAACCATACATGCATGAAAAGAGGGCCAGACCTTGTATTGATCAATGCGTCTCTTCATTTTCTGCTTGTTAACCTCTTTATCTTTGATATCAACAGCTTCATCGAAGTCATCGATGACCTCCGGTGTCTCGACTGGATCAACGACCTCCGGTGTCTCGACTGGATCAACGACCTCCGGTGTCTCGACTGGATCAATGACCTCCGGTGTCTCGACTGGATCAACGACCTCCGGTGTTTCGACTGGATCAACGATTAAATCATCTTCGACAGTTCTAGATATTCATAAGAACAACACTTTAATCAAACGCTACATTATAAACAGAGCCACATTCATCATAAACAAAGCAAAGATTAATGATTTTTTTACTAATTCCCATAAATGCATTCTAAACTCAAAACAAAATTCAACAAAAAGAACCCAAATTTCGTAACAAAAATAAGAAATTCAAAAGGTGTGAAAAAAAGCTTGATGAATTAGAGAGTACCCAATCATGGTCATCTTGAGAGAGGACTTGAGGGGAATCTGAGAGAGCAAGAGTGAGTCATCGGCGAGTTTGTTTTTGATCTTACGGTACAGAAGCTTCTGTCTTTTGGGCAAAACATTCGTCACTTGGAAGATTCTTCGTTTCAACTCGGCCACTGAGTCATCGCCGCAGACTCGAACCGTGTACTTTTTCCCGCTCCATTTTACCATCAGCGTCAGCTCCTCCTGCGTCACCGATGAAGATGCAGCGCCGGCAGCCATTTCCTTTCCCATCTTTTTTTCAGATACTGAACCAAAAACTCCAAAAGAATCTCGGTGGAAATCAATGCAAGTGCCCTCCATATAAGAAACCCAAACACAAAATGATAAAGGAAACAAAAATGGGTCATGGATCAATTCGATTCTTTGGATCACCATAGATTTTAGTTGGGCCATTCTTCCAGTTTCTAGCATCTTTGAGCCATTTTTTCCAGTGAAAGATGGTCCATAAATGCAAGTGGCCCTGAAATATTTATTTGGGTTTAATTTGATTATAGTCCCTATACTACCATGTGATTGAATATTTAATCCTTCTACTTTATTCTGGCATAATTTGCTTCTTCATTGTGTTGTCAATAGGCTCAAACTAATAACAACATTAACCATTAAAGTGGACTAAAAAAGTACACAATTTTAAACATATGGTTGATATGTAAATTAATTATTAATTGAACACAGATGCTTGGAGACTAGGGTATCGACAGCTTGAAATGGAATCTGATAATTTGGAAGCGATTGGAGAGATTTTGAAACCAGAGTCGTCTTCTCACGGGAATATGCTTCTTGTTGTGATTAAAGAATCGATGCAGCGAGATTGGGTGGTTCGTATAGATCATGTTCGACGAGATCACAATGCGGTCGCGGATGTACCGGCTTCTTCGAACGTTGCAGGAATTCTACGTAAAATATCCGAACCTGCTTCGACATGTTTCCGGTATCTGCGACAAAATACAGTTTAAAAATCAGTTTGGTATTTCTAATTGTATAACAAAGAGATCATAACCAAAACATACACTTGATATTGACTCTAGATTTCCAGCTTAAAATGCCATAAATCAATATATTTGGACCAACCAACCAGTTACTTGGCTATGTAGTATACAGCCAAAGTTGTGTCATCCTCTCCTTAAAGGACATTTTGCTTCTGCAGTCAATGGAAACAAAGGATATATGAAAAAACAATCGAGGGATAATAGTCGTACAATATAAGGCATATGGTCAAATTAAGTTGCCTCAGTCACCAAACTGCGAGGAGAAAGAAAAGGAAATTTAGTAGCATGCTGAAGCATACCCCTTGAATCAAGAACAGCCACGGTTCTTGGTTGTGTCATTCCGTATCAACAAGATCCCTTGTACAAGCCGAGCAACGGTTTCTCTCTCTCTTCGACTCTCCTCTTCACAGCTTCCCTTGCTTTGAGTGCAGCTGCCTCTTCTTTAGATACAGCCCAGGGTTTCTTCTCGTCTTGTCTTTTTCTCTTAACAGCGAATGATGACTGAGCACCATTAACAGATCTCATGGGGTTTAATGTAGATGAAAGGACAGGCCCGGGTGCGGTCTCGTTTTTACTTTCAGCAACACTCTTGCTATCTGCAACTCGTCCTGCCCCCGAAGTTGGAGACGGCTTTTTCAAAATAGGACGGCTCGGTTTAGTATTAGATGAAGCTTGATCTATTCTATTTTATCACTAAGACTTCAGATAATTGCATGGTTAAATTACCCTAAATTTTAATATGTACTATTATATAATCTAATTCTAACATAATAATTTTATTTAACATACTTTAAATAAATTATTAAATTTTAAAAATAAAAGCTGATTTTCTCTAATAGCTTTGAAGAGAATATAAAATATTTTTTTAATTTCTTAATTTAACATATTTGTTTAATCTGTAAATTTCTTTGATCCACGTCAATTCTTAAACTCAAACTTAAAATTTTGATATATTTTTAATTATATGGTACATTAAAAATATACCAAGTAGCATGATTAATAATATTATATCATAAAAAATTAAAAATTTTATGTTTATGAATTGATTTAAATTAAATAAAATCCAGGGACTAAATTGTAGAAATTGTAGATTTTAGGATAAATTATGTGTTTGGTACTTAAACTATCGATTTTGATCCATTTAAGTACATAATTTTTTAATTTTTTCAAAATCATACCTAAAATTTAATTTTTGTTTCATTTTAATACCCGTCATTAAAAACTTTAATTTTTACTTTATTTTAGTACATGTTCAAACTTTAACATTAATTTTTGGAAGGATTAAAAGTTTAGGTACTAAAATGATAAAAATTGATAATTTAAGTATACACACGTTATGTTTTTAACGACAATATAATAAAATAAAAATTAAATGTTAGACATAATTTTAAAAAAATTAAAAATTTAGATGTTATAACGGATTAAAACTAATACTTTAAATACTAAATGTATATTTTATCATAGATTTTAATAACTAAAAGTTGTTTTATCCCTAATGTAAACTATTTATCTACTTTCCCTTCCCTGTTATTACTTCAACTGAAGTCTGAAACAAAGTTTCCTTTTTGTTCTTTGCAAAAGACTTGAGAAGCGAAGGAGATAAACATAACGCTTTGAATGTAAAAAAGTTGATGTTTTTCTTCACATTCAGTTGAAAACAAAGCAAACCCAGATTCCCAAATCCCCAAATTCCTTGATCTTTCATTTCCCCAAATCCAATCACCCAAAAACCCTAATTCTTTCGTCAAATCTGAAACCTTCGTTGTTTCTTGTTTGTTCATCATCGATGGATGAAACTTTCTTGTTGATGTTATCGAATCTCCTTCACCTTCACAACTCTCTCGATCCCACCACTTCCCTCCTTTCCCCTTCCTCTTCTTCTTCGCCTCCCGCTTCATCCCCTTCCCCTTCATCTCCTTCCTCTCTCCTCTCGTCTTCTTCCCCTGCCCCTCTCATCTTCTTCACTCTCGCCTCCATACTCTCTTTCCTAGCCACCTCTTCTTCGAAGAAATCTTCCAAGAAAAAGGAACCCAATTCTTCGCCTTCTCCACCTCCTTCAGCTTCCTCTCACTTCTCCGTCGCTGCTTTTCGCGCTCTCTCCACTGACCATATCTGGTCGATGGACGCCCCGACCCGTGACGCCGAATGGCGGTCCTTGTACGGGCTCTCCTACCCGGTTTTCACCACCGTGGTGGAGAAGCTCAAGCCCTTTATAGCCGCTTCGAATCTGTCCCTTCCTTCTGATTATGCTGTGGCCATGGTGCTTTCTCGTCTCTGCCATGGATACTCGGCTAAAACCATCGCTTCACGCTCTTCTCTTGACCCTTACATCGTTTCTAAAATCACTAACATGGTGACTCGTCTCCTGGCTACTAAGCTTTACCCGGAGTTCATTAAGATCCCGGGTTCTCGTAGAAGGTTGATTGAGACTACCCAGGGATTTGAGGAGCTTACTTCACTGCCTAACATTTGTGGAGCTATCGATGGGAGCCCCATAAAGGTTCGTGGGTTGAAACTCGATCAGAATTCGACGAGTTCTTATAAATGCAAATACGGGTATGATTCGGTTTTGCTTCAAGTTGTTGCTGACCATAGGAAAATTTTCTGGGATATTTGTGTTAAAGCTCCTGGTGGCGCAGATGATGCTACTCATTTTAGGGATAGTTTGTTGTATAATAGGCTTACATCGGGTGATATTGTGTGGGATAAGGTGATCAATGTTAGGGGTCATCATGTTAGGCCTTATATTGTTGGAGACTGGTGTTATCCTTTATTGTCCTTTTTGATGACACCCTTTTCTCCGGATGGGGCTGGGACTCCTGCTCAAAATTTGTTCGATGGGATGCTGATGAAAGGTAGGTCTGTTGTGGTGGAAGCGATCGGGCTACTTAAAATGAGGTGGAAGATTCTTCGAGATTTGAATGTGGGGTTAATCATGCACCTCAAACTATTGTAGCTTGTTGTGTGTTGCATAATCTGTGTCAGATTGCAAGAGAGCCTGAGCCTGAGATTCAGAAGGATCCCGATGAAACTGGGGCTCCAGCAAGGGTGCTCGAGAGCGAGAAGCAGTTTTATTACTTCGGGGAAAGTTTGAGACAGGCATTGGCAGATGATTTGCACCAAAGGCTTTCCTCCCGATAAGTTATGAACTTTTTTGAGAAGAGGTTGATTTTAACCTTGTGTTATCTGTACGAATATGTATTTGAGTATATCTAACTTGGCTAAGATAACATGTGTGGTTTCACGCCTATTTTATTTGTCATCCTCGTTTTAGTAAGCAGCAGAACTAGATTGCCTGTTGAAGTAACATGTGCGATTTCACTTATATTATTAATTGCTGTGGCAATCTAACCTGGTAAATGTGAAAACTAAGAATGTTCTGATTTTAAGAAACTGGCATTGCAAATCTATTACTGCTCTTATTAAGTTCATCTTATAAATTGGTGCCTTTGATAATTTTATCATCTTTTGCTGGATAAATTGTTATTTGCTTTGATGTACTTTATTTTCATAAATGCGAATGCCATGTTAAATTAACCCTATAGAATTTGGTAGAAGGAATCTTGTGTACAATCATAATTGTGAGAGCTGTCTCGTTTTGTGTTTCATCTGCATTAGCCTTTATTCTCCTGTGAATTCCCTTTGTGCCTGTGTTGCATGTATGTACGTCTTTATGAGATGGTTCTGGTTGTTACTAGCAGCATGTTGTATATTTAACTGGTAAGGGGCATGTGTTGAGGGAACTAAATTTACAACACTTTTTAGTTTCAATGGCGTTCTTAGGACATCAGCCTTTAATTGACAGAAATTTTGGTGGTGGTGTTGCGAGTGAAATATGGGCGTGGTTGCTTATTCTATCATGTTATATCAAAACCACCAGAAAAGGGGATGAGTGGTCAAGCAATACTCATTTGACTCATTTGCTATTTCAAGAGTGTTTTCTCTTTTTGATTGATCATTATTATATGTGTATCATGGTTGTGAATTCCAAGAACCTGGTGATTTAGGAAAAGTGCAAGCCTTGAATTTGGCTATATGATCTTTGTTGTCTACTGGTCGACGGGTTGAAGATTTCTGTTTTCAGTCGATTAACTCGTGTATTTCCAGGGAATACTAACATAGTGCATAGGCACATATTATATGTTGCTTAGGCTCCATAAGAGGGAATCCGTAAAGCATTTTCTTGCCTATAAATACCTGGAAAGCCTGGATGTACACCACAAGAGGTCAGGCTTAAGGGCACATGGAAAGGCAATGGATCTTCATTGGCCTACATGAAGGGTAGATGAAATCGAATATGCCTGAATAGATACTTCCGAAGCATGTTAGAAGGAAGCTGAGGTAAATGTTGTAAGAATTAACCTGAATGAATTGTGTTGACTATAAGAAATACAGTGAGATCTTTTTCATTCTGCACTCTTGACAAATGGGGAATTAGAGTCTAAAATGCTCGTATAAGTAAGAATGCTGCTTATTATTTGTACAGTGAATCGTATTAAAGACTTGTTAGTAGGTGAACCCAATCACGAAAACCAGAACTAATAAAGGCTTATGGATATGATTCAAGCAGCTAATGAACCTGATGGTGTTTGACCAAATAATGAAACCCCCAACATCACACATTTACATTAAGCGTTACATTATTTTTGTCTTAAAAAGAACACAGCCGATGAATATGCAAATACTTTACAAATTTGAACGTTCAGCATTGTTGTATGCCCTCTACGCATTGGACTTTTGTTAAAGTGGGAGAAACCGGATTCCTCAACAAGTGTGTAACTTGTGCCTTGTCATGAACCGCCAGCATTTCTTCCCTTAGCCAAGGGATTTGCAAGAAATTTGGCAGTTGCACTCCCTTAATGAAACTTTTGCTCCAGCCCATGGTTTGGAGTCCACACAAGGGGTGTGCAGGTTCACAATGCTCTTCTTTACCAACTCAATATAACTGATTGTCAAGTTACATAACTACTGAACCAATATTTTCAAAGGAGCCATAAGAATGACAGAGTATCTATATATGTAGTGGTTGACAAATGATGCAGAAAGTAGTTCAAACAAAATGCAGTAGAATTACTTTCCACAAGTTTTGTTGTTACATGCTTGCATTCAACATAACATGTACAGCATAATAGAACTTGAATACCTCTTGAGTTGCTGTAAGTAACAGTGGTGCAATCCCAGAATAGGAATACCAGTCATTATTCTGTTGACAGTTGTAGATAACACCGGCTTGGTTCATTTTTTTAATGTATTGCAAAAACCAGGAAAGCTATGCAATCAGTCTGCTTCCTTTATATCCTCTATGTAAATGGCAAAAAACATGCATGTCCTTGATCTCTTCAGCAGGGCTCACAGGTTTCGCGGTTCAATGTGCCTGTCCTTCCCCAGCATATATGCAGTTCAGCCACTTTTTGGAAGGAGGCCGTCCTTGGCCATTTCCGTTAGCACATTGAAAACTACATCCATGTTCCCTTCTTTATGATTTATTTCAACAAGTACTTTAGCAAGCTCAGCATCAGTAACCTTACAGCTTTGAAGTATGCTTGCTATGACATGACTTAACTCATCAGACTTGCCAACCGTGAATAGTGCTTTAATCAGTGCAATAACAGTCAGAGTATGAGGAAGAAAACCCGATTTCATCATTTCCTTGTACAGATCATATGCTTTCTGAATATTTCCACCTCTACAATGACCGTGTATGATAACATTATATGCAGCTTCATCAGGGTTATGGTTTCTCTGAAGCATCGAGTCAAAAACTCGATCAGCTTCATTCATCAAACCCTTCATACAAAATCCCTTTATAAGAGCTACTGCACTTCTATATTCAATATTGCCACAGTTCTCTATCAGCGTATTATACGTGACATCACTTGGGACGGACTCATCATAAAACAATTTGAGCAAAAGCCTTTTTGCTTCCCTTGTCCTAGCTTGTTTATTGAGACCATTGATAAGCACACTATAGGTAACAACATCAGGAAGGAAGCCCTTCTGAACCATTTCATCATGCAAATTAAAAGCCTTCTTTATATCCCCCTCTCTGCAATAAGCATATATTAACACAGTATACGTAAATTCATCAGGACTCACACCTGCACTCAGCATCTCCTGGAAAAGATCACATGCTTCAGCAAGTCTACTCTGCTCACAAAGACCCTGAATCAGTGATGAATATGTAACTGCATCTGGTTTAATTCCTTTCTCAATCATCTCCCGCTTCATTTGGAATGCCTTCTCCAAATCACTGCATCTACAAAATCCAGAAATAATTGTACTATAACTTACAATATCTGGAGCTAACCCTTCACCTACCATAACTACTATCATTTTTAAAGCCTCTTTTACCCTTCCTAGCATACAATGCCCATTAATAAGAGCATTATAAGTGACTAGCGAAGGAGAAAATCCGTTCTTGACCATCTCATTTAGTACCCAAAAAGCTTTGTTTAAAAGTCCTCGCTGGCAAAACCCATTTATCAAAGTAGTATAAGTTCTTTCGTTTGGTCGAAGTCCTCTAACATGCATCTGATCGAAAAACTCCATAGCTCTATTCATATTCCCAGCCTTGCACATACTATTAATCAACGAAGTATATGTAATGACATTTGGGGTCAAGCCATTCCCCACCATCTCTGCATGCAAAACAAGCGCTTGATGAAAATTACCATCCTTACAATGTCCATTTACAAGCGTATTATAGGTAACCTCATCCGGAACGAAACCCCTCCAACTCATCTCCTGAAGTACCTCGTTAGTCTCCTCCATCCTACCTTCTCTACACAATCCATTGATGATTACATTATAAGTAATCAAATTCGGCTTCAAACCTTTCAATGCCATTTCCCTAAACATCTTAAATGCATAATCAATCTTATTCGACTTACAGTGTGCATCAATCAATGTATTATAAGTAACCACATTAGGCAAACAACCCTCTCTTTTCATCTCATTGAAAAATCCCAAACCCATACTCAAATTCCCGGCCGTGCAAAAACCCCGAATCAAAATGTTATAAGTAAACACATTTGGTGAGATCCCATTTCTGATCATCTCCTCAAAAACTTCTTCAGCAAACCTAACGGGCTTTTTACATCTAATCACGGCATCCAAAATAGCATTGTAAGATAAAACCCCAGGCATGAAACCATTGAGTTTAGCTAAATTAACAATGTTAAGAGCCTTATCGATGAATTTCAAATGGGCATAAGATTTTATCACCAAGTCGAAAACAGAGGAGCTTGAAGCACAAACATGGTAGGTTTCCTTGAGGCATTGAAAGACGAAATTTCCCTTCGGATCGGGTGCACGGACGGCGAGGTCTTCGGCGAGAGACTGCGCAGATTTGTAGAGCTTGAATTTGGTGAGGATGTGGAGGGCGAGACATCTGCAGCGAGGGGTGAAGAACGGGTGGGGTTGAGCCCATTTTTATGAATTTTAGGGTTAGGGCTTGGTCGTTTTGAAACCTGAGGAGTAAAAACGAAGCTGCTTGGGGGGTGAAATCGGAAGAGATGGAATTCAACAGGTAAGGCTGATGTTTGAGGAAAGTTAAAGCTCTGTCAGCGAGGGAGGCGTCGGTGGAAGACGGAAGAGAAGAGAGAGAACGGTGAATATGGAGGTTCCGGAGGAACATATCCGGAAAATTGCAAAAGCTAGGGTTTATCAGAGGTTTTTCTAAATCATTCAAGGAAGAAGCAAGTACTGAAAAGCCATTGAAGTTCACTAAACTATGACCAAATGATTGTTTTAATATTTTTTAAAAGTATTATTATTAAATTTATCAATATGTTATATAATGATTATTTTTTTATACAAAAAAAAATTTATGTTAGGGGTTGATCTCCAGTCCAGTCCAAGGACACAACTAAGACCTAATTAGGATTTACATATGAATTTACAAATTATTTATTAATAGTAATAAAAGATAGGATTCGTATTTAATCTTACAAATTCAAATTCTTAAATCTCAACCAATTGTGTTAACACTAGTTCACGCTATATATTGATTATATTAATATTAAAATTAGTGTAAAAATTTCATATATCTAATAATTATTCTACAATAATTTTATAAAAAAATAATAATTATTTTATAATAATTTTATAAAATTCAAAATAAAATATACTAGAAGTCCATAAATTATTCTCAAATGATTATTTTAATTATTAAAATTTTAAAAATTAATAACTAAATCTATCAAATTTAACAAAATGACAACAGAATTCTATTTAACAACTATAAAATACTCCTTATTTTTTTTAATTTTTAGACATTATAGTACCAAAATAATTATTTTGATAATTTTAAGGTTTAAGGGTTATTTTTCTTCTTATAATAGATTCAATTTATTATTTTTATTCCTATAATACATTTTCAAATCAACTTGGCTCTCGAAATTCATCAATCGTATCGATGTTTAAAATATTCACTAATGCTTAGGGGTTTAAGTTAGGATTTAAGGGTTAAGATTTAGTCTCTAGGGTTTATGGTATATGATTTAGGGTCTTAAGTTAAGGTTTATGGTATATGATTTAGGGTCTTAAGTTAAGGTGCAAGACAATAATTAAATAGATTCGATGACTAAATTGATACAAAAATATCATAGCGACAAAAACGATAAATCAGATTTACTATAGGGGTTAGAGTGACCCAATAAGTCTAAATTGAAGTGGAACAGATAACATGTTAAATATCTTTTTATGATATAATAAATCAAACTTATATAATTATAAATAATAAAAAACCATGAAACAAGACGAATATTAGCCCCCATTGAGGCAAAAGCTAAAAGCTCAACCATATGTTTCCTCTACATTGTGATTGCTTGCCGTCATTGCCAATGATATCTTCAAAGTTTCCCACAACTCTCAAACTCCTCCAAGAATTAACATAAATTTGATTCAAACTGGATTCATGGAGCATCCTAGCAAATCCCCCCGAAGAAGGATTGATCCGTTTTACGCCCGTGGCTCGTCGGATTGTCTCCCGGCAACGTGGCACGATTATTGCGCCTTTGCAACGGCTCGACTGGATGGACCACGCAACAATTTAACAAACCCTAGGAAACTCAACTTCCCATCGGTATGTCTTATCCAGTCGTTAAGAACGGCGTGGATGGGAATCGAGGGTCCAAGACCGAGTTCCTGAATTTCGCAGGGGCGGCCGGTTTAGATTCGCATGTGACGTTATGATCATGAAATGTTATTTGACGTTTAAAAGGATCCCGAAACTTACGGAAGCGAGTTCCTCGATGACGATAGCCCTGTTCCCATCCTGCTCGAAAAGCTCATACGCACAACGCGCGTGTTGTTCCCAGTGATCGAATGCCTCGAGCTGATGGACGCTTAATGCAGCTGCACAGAACTCTTCAAAGTCCATTCTTCTGTAGTGGAGTGCATTTAGCTGTAATGCAATTGAAATTAAATAAAAGATACTCGGATAAACTACTCCATAACCATATAAGAAGTCGAGGAATCGAAAGAACGGCGACCGAGTTCATACCGATAAAAGAAAATCCAGAATGCGAGACTCCTTCATTGCATCTGTCGCGTTTTTCATCAGAGCCTGTTTGCAAGAAATCAAATGATCAAAACGGGTGCATAATCTAACACCACCTCAATCGCTTCTTTAGGGAACCGAAAGGCTAACCGTCTTAATATTCTCCAAGGTTATGCTACCATGTTTCGGCTCTAATAAGGCAAATTGCTCTCTCAGGTAAAAGAGTTCGTCGGGAGTCAATGTCTTCGACAAAGCCTGCAGGAACGAATCATTTCAGTAAAGGACAAGCCGCATAAGAGATCATTAACAATTTCGATAATGTACAAAGAGGAAAATAATTTTTCCCATTAGTGTATGTACCTTTAAAGCAGCCTTCCGCAAAGGCGATGATTGCATATACGTCTTTATAAGCCTAAATGTTAAAATATCGAGTGGAACCTTGACATTACTAAGACTCTGAATCCAAGGATGACCTGCGAACAGAAGATACGGTTCGGTAACTCTGGCACAATGATGTTAGCAAAAACTAATATTACGAGTAAAAATGATGCACGCACTCAGAGCCTGAGCTGCTGTCATTCGTTTCCTAGGATCCTTAATCAAGAGACGCTTCACAAAGTCCTTGGCTTCTAACGACAAGGAAGGCCAAGGTGGTTCGTTAAAATTAGGATCAGCTTTCAGAACTGCTCGAAAAATTCCAGACTCGGTCCTAGCCCAAAATGGTCGACTCCCACATAAAAGAATATAAGCTATCACGCCTATACTCCAAACATCAGCTTCTGTACCGTAGGACCTGTGTAGAACTTCGGGGGCCACATAGTATGCACTTCCCACAATGTCATTAAGTCTTTCATCTGGAAATATGAAAAGCATTAGAAAAGAAGAATCCCCAAGGCTGTGCAGAAGGAAGCTGAACGAGCAGAGTGCAAACCTGGTCTTACGAAATCCGACAGGCCAAAGTCTATGGCTTTCAGCAAAGAGTTCTCCTCCTTTGAAATATACAGAAAATTCTGATCCAGAGAAGTGCAAATTTAGATTCCGATATGGTAAACAAAACACATAAAAAGTCCGGTACTTATGCTTTTAAATATTAAAAAAATGCGACGTTGCTCCACCTCTGGTTTAAGATCTCGATGCACAACGCCTTGAAGATGACAAAAAGCAACAACGTTTAGTATCTGAACCATTACAACCTTTGCATCATCTTCAGTGTATTTTCCACCCCTACAAGCATAGTAAGCCTTCCAGTTAGAGGCTACCATCGAGGCAGAAGCGAGAACAACGATAAACAATTCCGAAAATTATAAGATACATATATTAGTAGAATGATCACCTTGCAAGTATTCTATCCAAAAGCTCACCTCCTTCACACAATCTGTAATTTCAAATAAGTTACTCAGGATCTTATTGACTCTTTTCGATTAATTGCCATGAAAAACTAAAACAAGATAACATGAATAGCGGTCCATGTTTCAGCTTACCCCATTACTATAAAGACATTATCATGATCTTCGAACGCATCGTAGAATTTCACTAGATTGCTATGTCCTGTCAAGGCTCGCAATATCTTCACCTCCCTTCTCACATCCTCAACTGCAATAGCTGTTGTCATCTGACAACATAAAATACTATTACTTGTCATGAGAAAAACACGGAAGAAAAAAAGAGAGAAAACGAAAAATACAAAACAATATCATAATCTCACTTTGTTGAAATTTCTGTATTTATAACCTTTTTTCCCAACAAACAAACCACACCTAAGATAACTAGACATAAGTGTTCTCTTCACACTACATTTTGTAATTTGAGTGAAGAAGAGAATACAGAAAAATGGCAACCACGTACATCGACCATATGATTTTCATAACACGTGTTCTCTATTTTCCGGAATAAGTGGAACTCCTACTAGGAAAAGGACAATTAACTAACATAATTCTTCTGCTAAATCCAGTCATATGGGAGCAAAAAATAGTCTTATCCTTAGAATTTTTTCATCAGTTCTATTCTATTGCATGTTGTAAAGGGAAATCTATTCCCACCGATTCCTCTGATATTTGATTCTCAATCTCAGAACAGGACATCGCAATCAAAGATTAACACATGAGAGGAAAGTGGGATAGAGAGCAAATACAACAGATGTTGTAACTTCTTAAGCTGTCTTGCAAGAACGTATTAAACTTAATCAAATTTCCACCTCATAAATCGTAAGGTCTTGATCAGAAGCAAAGATTTTGTCGGCTGTGTCTAATTTGTAAACGATTCTACTCATGAACAATCTTAAGTTACGTATGAATGGTACAATGTTTCATCTACCATCTAAAGGTTCAATGGACTGCATGTACCAAACCCAGATAATGGTTACCAATCAACTAAAATACAAACATTCGTTTTGTCAGTTGAGCTGTAGTTGACCGACTATGCATGAAAATTACAGGTGAGGCCATGATCTTTTCAATAATTCAGTCTAATTCATAACCATTGAACAACTGTGCTCCAATAGCAGCTTTCGATTCAGAGGTGTAGAGAAAGCTATAAGTCGATACCGGAGAATTTCAACAGCTTCTTATCATACAATATTCACATCCATCACCATCCAGATCCAGCCATACAGAACTAAATGATGCAAAGATGCACTTTTTAGAGCCAGCTGTGATTTTAGACTTAATATATCCAAGTAAGATGTGGTAAGCTCAGCAGATCAAATCATCCAAGTGGGTCAGGTGGACCAAAGAAATTGACCCCAGAAAAAAAAAATCAATAAACAAACAAGTTGGCCACTTTATGTTGTTTTACAATCAAGAAATGGTAATTGTAATAAATGGATTCAACCCAGTATTTTATCCATCTAAAAGATCTGAAACAGTAAATTGCCCTCAAGATTTCTACTTTTGCTAAAAGTCTCAAGTCCACTAACCTTTGAAATTTTAACACTTAGATACAAAAATTGAACAGATTTCAACACTCAAATTGGAAATTTGAATTCAATTTTTTAGAAATACATGGACGTGATTAAACCAAAAATAGTTGATTGATTAAAAAGGAGGAAGAAGAAGAAAAGGTGTTACCTTGGACTTTGGGATAACTTTAACAGCAACCTGCTGACCTTTGAATTCACCTTTCTTGAACTTAGCAGCACAAGTGTACCCAAAATGCCCTCTGCCAACTTCTTCTCCTACCTCCAACCTACTCCTCAATTCCTTTGAAAACCCGAATCTTTTATCCAGCTCAACCCCTTCCTCCTCGTCCGCATCCGTCGTCTCCGCCGCGATTCCCGCCTCCTTTTCCGCCTTCTTATTACTCTTCCGCCGCCTCAGCACCGCCCGGATATGCTTTGCGGGAGAAGGGGGAGGAAACGATCTCCGAAGAAACCTGAGCGGCGTCGAAGGAGTCTTGGGTTTGTTCGGGTGGGCCGGACTCGGAGTGTACATGGGGAGGAAAGGGGTGGTCGGTGGCAGAGGCGGCGGCGGAGATTTGGGTGGTTGAGGTTGAGCAGGATGCTGATTCCTATCTCCTGAGCCGTATGGATTTGGCTTTGAAGGCTTCGAAGTACAGCCTCCCATTGTCAAGGAAAGATAAAAAAAATAAAGAAATTCAACAAGAAACTGGTGATTATGTTTGCATTCTGCAGAGATCTTGGAAGCTTTCGGCTTAGAGAAACAAACAGTGGGAGGGAGACGAAGGAAACAAATTAAAAAAAAATGTAATTTATACATACAGAGAAGAGAAAGTGAGATTTTGCTGTCTCATAACTTTTTTAAGGGTAAATTATACGTTTAATATTTAAATTATTAATTTTTAAAATACATAGAAATTAATAATTTAAGTACTTTAATACGTTAAGTTTTTCATTATGATATATTAAAATAAAATTAAAATTAAACGTTAAATATAATTTAAAAAAAATTGAAATATTGAAATATTAAAATATACCAAAATTAATATTTTAAGTGCTAAATGTGTAATTTATCCTAATTTTTTTAACGTTGTAAGAGGATGAAGACGGAAGCCAGGGTGATTCAAGTAGAGCTGTACAAACTTGTTACGCACGTGCCATGCACATGATTATAGTTAGCGCACACATAATTACCACCAATTCAGTATATAATTTCGATTTAAATTTGACGAGTTTTAATTTAATTCAATTCGATAAAATTGAAGTTTATTTTTTCAAAAAAAGTAATTTGATCGAGTCAATTTTATTAAAAATGAGATAGGGTTTAATTTAGATTTGAGAAAAAAAACTAATTTGACCCGAACCCGGATAATAAGTGGTATGATTTTCTTCTATGTATTTAAAAATAATTACTATATTTCCCCCTTAATATATAACTTTTCAATTATATCTATTTTGTATTGGGTTAGGTCGAAAGTTGGGTTTTACCCTGAAATTCAGAGTCATGTTCTGGTCAGATAAACCTCTTTAAACTCGGGTCGTGCTCGAATGAAGAAGACATGCTTCTCAAATTAAGTCGAATTGATCGAAAATTCGACTCAACTTGTCCCATTAACATCTATAGTAACAATTCTCTATACCTAAGCTTTACAACATTTGTCATATACATTCCATAATTCCGCTTCAAATACCGAACAACAACTTTCATTTTACCCATCTCAAATCCATGGTGTGCAAAGCACATCTCATTATTAAATCTCATGTGAGTCAAATGTGGATTAAACCCATCTTTCATTTTACCACTTTGGGGTTTGTCAAATTTGATTACTTCGATTTCAAGGGTTTAGTTGCTCCTTGGAATGTACTCTAAACTAAGTTGGACCACAATATATTTTTGTTTTTTGACTATAGTCCTTTAACTAAACCGGTTCAAAGGTCTAGTTATTTGTTTGGACGGTTACGAGTCGGGTTTTTTATTCACTCGAATTTGACTCGAGTATAATACCTCTCTGTTCGTCATCTGATTTGACTCGAGTTTAGGAAAGTTTCGTCTTACTTGAAATTCGATCTGACTTGACCCGACATAAATATAAATACACAAAATTTTCATTTTTATTAGGTAAAATAAGGACATAATTGAAAAAATATATATAGATAAATGGGTATTATAATAATTACGCCTAAATATATAACGGTTTATTATATTATCATTCTCTAGTCAGTTATTGTTTACCCTAAACCCGACCCATCCTTAAAGAAAACCTCAAATCTAATCTGAACATGAATTTTCAAAACAAAAAAAAAATCTACTTGATCCAAACTCAAATTCTCAACAATAACAATAACTCAACCTTATAGGACTGGACTAGGTTCGAGTTAAATACACATTCCTAGTTATATGTTAGAGTAAATATATTAGACATATGATGCTAATAAATCCAGGACGAAATCTAGAAGAAATTTTGATACGTTGAAGGTTAAAATATTATATTTTTATTTAATTAATTTTAGTTAAATTAATATTACTGTTAGTATAATATATGCACCTTGCAATAGATGCACATGCTGCCAGCAAATTAAATTAAATTTATTTATTCAACTCAAACCAAATTAATATTTTTTTCGAAATAATTAATTATCAAGTATGAGAGCATCATCGTTGACAAATTAAATATTAATTAATTCTATGTTAGAATATTATTATCATCAACATGGATTTAATTCACTTGTCTTATAATCATATCTTTAAATCTGTTTTTATTTATTTATTTATTTATAAATTTCAGTAATTATGTATGTTGTTAAGAAATCATATATATTGTAAAATTTTATATTATATTATCAGTTAAAGATTTAGTCCATGTATTCTCTAATTTGATCCATTTTAGTTCTTATACTTTTCAAATTTTGTAATTTCGTTCATGATTCAAACAATAAAAAAAAACAATATAACTAAATTAAATAAACGTACAATTATCAAATTGAATAACGAAAATAACAAAAAATTGATTTCATATATTTTGCTATTATCGTTTAAGATAAAATTAAAAGATTAAAACTGAAAAATAAAGGATAAATTGCTCATGTAGTATCTAAACTATTAGTTCTGCTCCATTTTAGTATTTAAACTTTCAATTTTTTTTTCAAAATCATACCTAATGTTTAGTTTTTTGTTTCATTTTAGTGTCCCACCATTAAAAACTTAACGGATTGGCTCGTTGGCAGCCACGTCTACAGTTGTCGACCGTCACATCCGTCGATCGATGAAGCCCAAAATTTTTAGCCTGCACGAAAAATACCACAATCTCCACAAATTGACGATGGACTCCTTGACTGACTCATGTGATTTACTCCAACATTCCCCCTACAGACTAGATTATATTGATCGACTCGTCATTCTCTCGTAGTCTATCATTCGAATTGGTCATCCATTCACCGGAGCTATGCCCTGTCAGCCCGTCCGTTAAGTTTTTAACGGTAGGGTACTAAAATGAAACAAAAAATAAATGTTAGATATTGTTTTAAAATTTTGAAAGTTTAGATACTATAACGAGTCAAAACTAATAGTTTAGGTACTAAATAAGTAGTTTATCCGGAAAAAAAATTAAAAATGACCTAATTAGAGTATGAACAATGAATCAACAACTATACCATCATTATGAACAGCTTTTATCCTTTTCATCAAAATGTTTTTTTGACCATTAAAGGGGAAAACTATGAATGCATTTGATTAAAGATATATGTTCTCTCCTCCGTAATTGGTCCCATTTACATGCACCAACTTTTTTCACTTAAATGTATTTTATAAGTTGGGTTGGCTCATGATTAGGGACATGTAAGAGGATTTTTGTTCGTTTCCGTTTCGACTCTAATTTTTATATATTTTATTTTATTTTATTTAATATTTGGTTTCGTTGAGGTGATTCTAATACAAGGTTAAAAAATAACGATCTTAGAGCATAATCGAAAATATGATAAAAATCATAACATTTTAGGTTGAGCGTAACCTAAAATGTTACAGTCTTTCTAATATTTTCGATTGAACATAAAATATTAAGAAAATAATATTTTTTGTTGTCAACCGAAAATTTTACGAATAATATAACATTTCCGGTTCAATAAAAAATATTATAAATTGTGTCTAACCTAAAATATTATTTTCTTATCATATTTTTTAATTACTCTAAAGATTACCGTTTTTTAACCTTAAATTAGATTACTGTTCTTTAGACTTCATTCGATCCCATTTTGAAATGATTAAAGGTAAAAAGTAAGAGTAAATCCTGGGTTTTGGGTAAAACAGTTATAACAGATGATTGTTCATCGGTTCTTTTGCAATAATAAATCATCAAAGTTGTTGCGGAAAGAAATAATGTCACTGTCAAGTTAATCTGCAAAAATGATTAAATATAGGGTTAATTAATTCAAATATCACCCACTTTAAGCGCTCACTCGTTTATATTATTAACGTTTTAATTTTTTTTAGTTTTAACATTAACGTTTATTTTTAAGTTCAATTATATCATATCGCCGTTAATGATTTAACAACACGATGACATGGTAATGACATGCCGTGAAGTCGCTGACATACGGCGTCGTTTTGACACTTTTGTTTTAGTGATCAAAAGATCCAAAATAACGTCGATTTGCTTGAATCCTAATTTTCATAGGGATTAAACTCAAATTTTCTCATTATTTTTCCCCTCTTCTTCCTCTTCATCTGCATCTCCTTTTCCATAGTTTTCTTAGCAACCAAACAGATTTCATGGAGGAAACTATGCGTTGGTACGGTGTCATTCTTCGCCAAACGAAGCTTCTTTCTTATGTCACTCTCCACATATTTCGAACACACCCATCTCTTTCAAATAACCAAAAGTGAAAAAAATATACAAACGCATCCCATTTGATTTGAAGTTTACCAGAGGTAAAAAAGCTGTGGCTAAAAGAACAAGGAGAAGCGCTTCACCGAACTTATGAAACCATGAGCTCCGAGAAACGAGTAAGATACATATGCACAAATGAAAACCCCCAAGGAAGATAATGAGGGAGGTTCCAGTGTGCTGTCCTGTATAAAACTGTGCATGGATTTTCCATCCCATTTGCTGTGGAACACTCCATGGCGATGTCCAGTGCGGATTTCTGGAACCCAACAACGATAACTCTTTTGCCTTTGATGAATTTCACCGCCTTTGCATCTTCCATGGCTGCGTAGTCCATGGAGTGTATCACCTTGCCATGAAATGCTTCGGGACCCTTGTTCGGAGGGAATTCTGGGATATTTGGCACACCACTGAACCCTTGCTCGAAGTGCTTTGCATAAGCCTTGACATAATTGAAGACCTTGTGTTTGTCGGGAAAATCTGTTTGGTTGCCTAGAAAACAATGGAAAAGGAGATACAGTGAAGATAAGGAGGAGAAAGAAATGGGAAAATTTCAGTTTAGTCCCTAAGAAAATTAGGGATAAAGCAAAACGACGTTATTTTGGGTCTTTTGAGCACTAAAACAAAAACGTTAAAACGGCATCGTTTAGATAAGGCATCCACATCAGCTACATCACAATCATGTCATCATGTCATTAAATCATTGACGGTAGAGTGAAATAATTGCACTTAAAAATAAACATTAGTATTAAAATTAATAAAATTAAAATGTTGGTAGTATAAACAAGTCAGCGCTTAAAGGTCGATGGTATTTGAAGTAGTTAAACCTTAAATATAATACATGCTTTTTATGGAGAAAGAACCCACGATTTCACACATGATGGAAGATGGCGA